TAGATTGTACTGTCCAGTTATGTAACTTATTACAAAGTTTGGTGCATTTCTTTTTAGGGCTTGGAGGCTGTGCTGCCAGATAAACCAACAATGGAGCATATTATAATGCCTGCAATTGAAGCACTGAACAAGAATGACATTGAAGGAGCAAGAAATCTTTCAAGAATTGCAATTCAAACTCTTTTGATTAGAGGTGTGAATTTGGTCATCCTTGGTTTGGACGAGTTCCAAGAACTTCTGCCTCGAGATGATCCTCTTCTTAAGAGATGCCTCGACCCTATGGATTCCTTAGCTAGATCGACGGTCAAATGGGCACATTCTGATGCAAAGATGGATGGAAATTTAACAGGATTCAGCAAGGTATAAGTACAAAAATTGTGCAAAATTTTTCCATATTTGCATATCTTTCTTTCTTTATAGAGATTCCTTTATACTAGTTCCAAGAGAGTTCTTAACCTTGGATATCCTGTCCCTGATAAAGAAAAAGAGAAGTTAAAATCGTACTGTCCAATACTTCACGTCAAACGAATCTTTACGGTGCAGGATTCTTAGAGGCAAAGGCATATGCAATAATACAATACTGATGGATTTCGTAAATAATGATTGAATTCTAAGTTTGAATGTAAAAAATACACATTCTCTAGGAAAGCAAATTGTGAAAAGGAATAATAGGATTTACAAGTCGACATGTACAAAAAATGTACAACTTTGGAACGTGCATCATAGACAGTTGCATTGTTCTGAAACTACAGGTTCGAAAGCGAACTGCCAGCATAGCCATTATCGACAACTTGATTGGCCCACGAAGAGATGAGATGATGAGCAATTGCAAATCTTCCAGGTATAATGATATAAGCAAGTTCCTCACTTTCAACATTGAAATCTTCAGACAAGCTTTGGCCTTTCTCAACTCCTTTGCAATTTCTGTCTACTTTAGTTGCCGCCGTCTTCTGTGGCTTGTATTTGGCAAATGTAAGTGACTTTTTTACATTTTCTCGAGTGTGCCATTTAGCGTCTGAGAAAAGATTTTTGTTTAAGATAATCACACATGATGTGACAATAGTGTTGTACTGCTAGTGATGATAGACTACAATAGATTAATTT